GGGCTCCACCAGAAAATTGGAAAAAGGAGTACAGGGTACACGATTGTTCTTCCTTTCTACATTTTAAAACGTGACGATGGCAGAAGCTATAACTTCTGGTGGGGCGTTTCAAAGGCCGACATTACTGCTGGGTTCAGTTACCGGAGCTTCGTAGTCGGCAGTCAACATCTCCCAAGCCGAATGTCATCAGATTCTGTTTGTAACTGAGGACCACAATATCTCTGTGAACTCCTAGCGGTTTGAACCAGTCAATTAGAATATGGAGAAGAGCGCCGTAAGTTCAAGTTTGTGAAATTGAGGGGATATAAACATTCTGTAAATTTCAGTGATCGTTTTCCTGAGTTTCATGCATCTCCTAGATTCTAAGCCTTCACTTTAGTAACCATTTCGGCTTTAGGGGCAATAAACTCAGTAATAACATTCACAAACAAACAAAACAAACTCCGTGGTTTTAGTCTGCAAGCGAACTATACCGACCGAGCGACCGCCGTTTCTCAGCAAAGTTAGTGCCAAATTTAGCAGATAGAGGATGTAGCGTGGTCAGCACAACGAATCCCCCACAGCCATTAATTTCGGATTTCTAGACCAGAGATGCTACTTTTCCATTCAAGTAGCCCCGCAATTATCCTCAAGACGCTGAGTGGACCCCGTTCCAGACCCACTACTTCTCAGAAAATCTGGCAGCGCCAGGAATCGAACCCGGACCTCTGGATCTCTAGCCAGGAACTCTGACCACTAGGCCACAGTAACATTCACAGAAGTCTTTCGGAAATGCTGAAAGTGTATGAAGTACTTCCTAACTTCCCAGAGAAAGTGAAATACTGTGTTTATGCAACCATATAAGCGCAATTATAAGCATCCTGAGGGGCTGATCACTCCTCCAAGAAGTCCTACATCTGTACAAAAACAAGATTACGAAACTGAAGAAGAGGCCAGGGCCCAACAAAGGGATGCAGAGCCTTTGATAAGTGAATGATTAAGCATCCTGTTAGAGTGATCCTTTGAGTTCTGATTGAGTGAATCGGCGCAGCGTAAGTCTGTACCTCTGTTATGGCCAGCTAACAAGCAGGGGTGAAGGCCCTGAGTGAACTATGTAAATGCCCTTACAGACTAGGATTAACACCGAACTCAACAGATAAAAGCCTCCTATAACGCTGTCCAAAGCCCAAATTAGATCATAGTGCTTTCCTCTTCCACTGCGAATTCTTTAGCGCAAATTGCATGCAATGGCGAAGGAGCATCTCTTGCGCTCTAACAGTGGTGCCACGTTTGATTCCCAGCCAATTTGTTTTTTTTTTTTTTAATTCCCTTCGTGGGGGTGGAATCCAACTGGGTCCACTCGGCACGGCGTTCACTGATTGGCCTATTGTAGCCTGCCCCGGGTGATTATGATGGAGAATTTGGTGGAATGAAGATTGGCAGGGGAAACCGAAGTACTCGGAGAAAACCCACCCCAGTGCCACTTTGCCCACCACAAATTCCACTTGACCAGACCAGGGATCGAACCAGGGCCGCCGCGGTGGGAAGCCAGCGACTAACCGCGTGAGCTAATTTGTCTGCTTACTTACCGCGCCTGAGACGAGTGCTTGTGTTGGCAGGACTGCAACGGAGACAACAAGGTGGACTGTCAAGACTTCGCGTTGCTCCACTACCTGGGTGCTGGGTGTGAAGGTGCACCTGGCGAGGACTACAAGCAATTTCGAGACACGCTGAACGAGTGCCTAGCCGAGGTCACACAGCTGGCCACCAGCTCGACTTGAATGTAGCGTGGCACACCTGTCAATAAAGCAAGCTTTTCAAAACACATGGACACATCTTATAAAGCACACGGAATGCGCAAAACCTGAGGAGGCAACTTAGGGAAGAAAAACCTCGTTACGTATCCTTGAATCTCCAACCACATGCGTATGAATACAGAAACTATTGTCACGTGTTATCACAGTGCGCGTGACATATAAGACGGGTTTTGAATTGGATTTACTGACACCTTATACACACAACTCGGGACTACAGGCAATACAGTGCTATCGCTGATTCACACGTTTTGCAGTTTACCGTTCCACACGCAGAAGGATTCTCAGTCTTCACTAACCGTATCCTGGCAACGGATTTATAACAGTCTCACTGGCACTTCATATCACACATGAAGTCTTCTTTTCACAGCCTAATTCCTTTCTTGGCATTATTCTGCAGCTGCCAATTCCGAAGACCCGACTCAATTCAATCCTTCTGCTCCCAAGCTCATATCTTGGCAGGCTGCGTCTCGAAACTCGACTCTTCACTTCCTCTGCTCCCAAGCTCATATCTCGGCAGGCTGCGTCTCGAAACTCGACTCTTCACTTCCTCTGCTCCCAAGCTCATATCTCGGCAGGCTGCGTCTCGAAACGCGACTCTTCACTTCCGACTACTTTCAATACTGCCGAATACTTCCTTATAACCACTCTGCATGGACCCCATGGAAAACAGCCTTTATTGTTAAGGAGGCGTATTTGCTGATTCTCTGCCTAGCAATGGACGCCCTATTCTTGCGCGCGTTGACTCACGTGGGAATGTGTTTACTGAGTCGTTGCCTAGCAATGGGTATAAAGTAAAGTAATTAAGTAAAGGTTTCCCTGTAACAGGCCGTGAAGGCCCATAGGGTTGTGAGATGTTGAGGTTCCCACATTTTCTAGACAATCGTCTCATAGATGACGGCAAGGTTGTCAGCCCTACGCGCCGGCCGCCCTTTACCCCCAAGCATATTCTAAGAATATTCCTGGTACTCATTTCTGCTATAGAATGAGTCGATCCTAGTGCCATAGTGCGGCCGGAAGGATTAGGTCAACTGAAAGAAATCCAATGACCTCATCGGGACTTGAACCCGCGACCTTCCGGCTTGTAGCATAGCGCCTCAACCAACTACGCTACCGCCTAGCAATGGGTATACATGTCAAAATATGTTCAAAATGGACGAGCCGGGATAGGTCAGTCGGTATATACCGATGGTTCATGGATCAGTGATTTTTCTCTACGGCACACTGTCCAGACCACTCAGTATCCAATGGGTACCGGAGGATTTTTGCCCGGGGGTAATGCGGCCGGGGTGTCAAACTAACAACTTAACTTCATCTAGTAGCGAGGTCAATAATGGTGGAGTTATATTTCCACCCCTCCAGTACTACGGCGTAGTACTTAATTACTTACGCAGAGACAATTTTTCCCCTATAACTTAGGTTCAAAATGTAATGTACTAACTTTTTAATGGTGACGTAATTTTTTATGTCACTATGTGATGGTGACGCATCCGCGTTCCCATAGTAGATGGAGTATACTAGGGCCATACATCTTCATATTGATCTCTGGAAACAGAAGAGACAAAAGTTTAAGGGAAGTTTGCGTTGATCTCAAGCAAAGAAAAACGCTGTAGAATGGTAGAAAGGGGTAAAGCTATCCTTGTAACAGGCCGTAGAGGCCCATACGATTGTGAGACGTCGAGGCTCCCATATTTCTATACAACCCACTCGCAGATGGCGGTGAGGTCGGCCTTAAGCGCCGACCACACTTTACGTCCCAGGAAGATTCCTGGTACTCATTTCTGTTAGAGGCTGAGTCGACCCCAGGACCCTAGTGCAGCTGGAAAGTTTAGGTCAATCGAAAAATCCTATAACCTCATTGGGAATCAAACCCGCCACCTTCCGGCTTGTGGCATAGTGCCTCAACCAACTACGCTAAGGCGGTTGGTGGGCCTCCGAATATTTGTGACTTGTCTATTCACTATACAAACGTTACGTTGGCCATTGTCCATCAAACTCCGTGGTTTTAGTCCGCAAGCGAACTATACCGACCGAGCGACCGCCGCTCGTCGGCGAAGTTAGTGCCAAATTTAGGGGATAGAGGCTGTCGCTTGGTCAGCGCAACGAATCCCCACGGCCGTTAATTTCGCTTTTCTAGACCGGTGCCATTGTCCATCGCATTTGGTATATTTAAAACACAAGTTGCGGAAACGTCATCAGATGATGCAGTTTACGAAATTTTATGTTTTAAATATCCCCCAAACGACGAGTAATTATTGCTAACATAATATTTAAGTACCTGTAGAGTACTTAGGTGTCCCTAACAACCTCTGAAGACACTGACTGAGTCTTATGAAAGGAGGTGCGGCCTGTCAAGGAAGCAGTTTACCAGTCAACTAAGCCATCTGTAATATAAGCAAAGCGTCGGGAAAGATCAGTCAGTATAGCGAGTAAGCTCTAGACTGGACGACAGGTGCAAAAGTGTCCAGAATAGCTCTGGGATTAATTCAACCGCCTATCTAATGGATATCGGGGGGCTTTTTCCCTGGAGGAAAGTGGTGAAAGAGTGAAACTGACTATTTACAAGGAATGAGCGGAGTTGTACCTCCAGCTCCCATAGGTCTGAAATGCCCGATGCTTAATTAAGCACAGCGAGAACCGGTGTCAGTCGCCGCAAATCTGAGGACTGGATTCAGGGATAGTTCTGGTGCAACAGATGGCGAACAATTTCGAAGATGGAAACGGCAGGGTGGCTCGTTACATGCACCTCTGCCTGTGTCGGTTGGTTTCTCTTCTTGATGGTTCAGGACTGGGGTTTAGCAACTCCTTCGAAAGATTTTGGCCTCTTCCCACGATGGGCGGAAACAGAAACTGACGCCTTCCATTGCTGATGTCTACCTATATGTTTAGGGCAATCTGCAAAATCTCGTTCATTTCTGAAGAGACGCTTTACAGAGCAGTGCGAGCCAAACATCCACTGGCTTCAGGTGGACGTTCCCCCACCTGCGCTTTGCCTACTTTTTTATTGCAAGTGGGGTGAGACTAAGTCCCTTGTACTGCGGCCACTTCTGGCCTATTGTACCAGCCTCAAATGATAGGTGAGGGTGATTGTGGAGCAATTGGTGGAATGAAGATTGGCAGGGGAAACCAAAGTACTTGGAGAAAACCTGCCCCAGCGCCACTTTGTCCACCACAAATCCCACTTCACCAGACCCGGGATCGAACCCGGGCCTCCGCGATGGGAAGCGAGCTATTAACCGCTTGAGCTATGGTGCGGCCCTGCGCTTTGCCTAAGTCAAGTCATTCGTCCACAGAAATCAATAAACTTCTCTGTCTCTGGGAACACACCTGAACCGGTTATGTTCGTGTGTTGGAATGTACGTACTAACATGGCGCTGTTGCGAACGTTTGAGAAAACCTCGCGGGGCGTGGCCCGATTGAGTTTCCGAATAAGAAACAAGCGTTTCCGCATGAGTAACACTCGCTGCTGTTCCATCATCAAGTGGAGTTGCGTCGTCCTGTGTCCGTTGGCTGCAAAGGGTGAGCTGTTAGTTCACGGTGTGAAGGTTTCACCCAGCAAACTGCTGGAACTTAATGCAGGCTAACGTAGGCTTTGTCAGTGGCAATTTATTAAATGTCAGTACAATGTAAGGCTATCCCTGAAACATGCCGTGGGGGACCAATAGGTTTGTGAGACGTCGAGGCTGCAACATTTTCTAAGACAATCAGCTCACAGATGGCGGTGAGGTCAGCCTTAAGCGCCTGCCGTCCTTTGGCCCCAGGGAGATTCCTAGTACTCATTTCTGCCGACTCCAGGGTCACAGTGCGGCTGGAATCATTAGGTCAACTGAAGAATCCAATGAGCTCATCTGGAATCGAACCCGCGGCTTGTAAAACAGTGTACGAGTCAGGTGAAAAAATTAGTAAAAGTTAAGGTTGAGTTGTGCTTTTGCCCGATGAAGACGTATTGTGGAATTGAGCTACAGCTTCACGCACTTCGAACCTAGACACTAGACGGAGGTGTGTGGTCATCTTTACGGGGGGAGACGCAAGGATACACATTACACAGGAGGCAGAAAGGGCGTCACAGCCGATCCTGCAGGCTGTGGAGAAGAGAAAAATATCTTGTCTTCGCCGGTAAACGAACATCAAGTTCGATGTCTCAGACTTATAGCCTAGTCACTACGCTGACTGAGCTACAAGAATATTCGCAGAATGAATCTACAAGAAAAAATATCATCATCATCATCACAGATGGCTAAGCTCTTCTTGAGAAGCTGCCAGTTGTGCAGCCACTCACAAACTTCCCAGCATTTTATGGAACCCGAAGGTTCATTACCGTGTTCACATGAGCCTCCCACTGGTCCCTATCCTAAGCCAGATCAATCAAATCCATACCATTCCATCCTATCACTCTAATATCCGTTTTAGTACTATCCAACAACAAATTATACAGAAATTATAAATTAACACACAATTTTAATTGGAAAAAAAACCTGAAGGAAAATGACCACTTGGAAGACCATGACATAGATTTGAGGTAAAGGTAAAATTATCCCTGTGCTTAACTAATTAAGCACTACGCCATGAAGTTGTATGGAGGAGTGGATGTATAGATCCACATTTTCTTGACCTCGGCACTCACCTCACCGGCATCTGTGAGCCGACTGTCTTGAAAATGTGGGAGACTCGACGTCTCACAACCCTACGGGCCTCCACGGCCTGTCATAGGGATAGCTTTATCTTACCTGAAAGTGGAAACCAAAAGTGCGCCAAGAAAGACGAAGACCTCGGAAGAGACGGAATGAGAATGCGGAGCCTCAAAAAACTTGACTGTCTGTAGCATGAAGCGAAGAAACAGAAAACAGAATTCTGCCCAGAGGTCTGTGCTCTTACCACAGTCGTCTTGTTTATAGCCTACGCTCAGTGAACTCAAACGGAAATTTGTGGCTGAAAAAGTCAGGAACTGAATTAACCCCGGGAAGCAGAGCGCTTCTTGAGCAGATACTAGCCCAATGGTGTGCAAACTACGGTCCACGGGCAGGATCCGTTCCGTGACAGCATTTTATCTGCGGAGCTGTTGTGAAAGTCTGCCCATAATACTATTTCTCATTTACTTCGAATTTTTTTACATTTCTAAGGTTTCTCCACCAGCCGATTTTTATAGTAATAAACTAAGAAATTTTTCAGAATACTGCACTGACTTCCATCCGGCCGGACGCAACACGTGTAGCCACTTAACAGTCCCTCGCCTACAAGGTTTGACAACTAGTCGCGAAATTCACCACTTTATATGGGGGGGGCGTGGAGGGGAGGATAGCGGGCCGGAAGGCGCAATTCCCGAGCTATCCGAGCAGAAAACATGGCTCCCTTCGGTGCCTTACTTTGGTTGTCTTTAATGATGATGCCGTCGGCAAAGCATGTTATCTGCCTCAACGTGTGTCGGGCCTTGTTTTGGCAGACAGAGGGAACACTGTGATTCTTGGTCATCTCTTCTGATTGTCAATGCACTACTTACTGCTCTGCTATTTGCACAGATAAACTGGTCGCCATTTACAGTGAATTACACAAATGCAGAACCAGACTATTTGCTCTTGACGCCTCAAAATTTCGGAGCACTTCCGTTCATAAAAGCTTACTCCCCCCCCCCCATTCTCTGATTGGTAATAAAGTAAAACTAAAGGTATCCCTGTAACAGGTCATGGAGGCTAATAGGGTTGTGAGATATTGAGGTTCCCACATTTTCTTTTAAACATTCGGCTCATAGATGGCGGCAAGGTTCTCAGCCCTACGCGCCGGCCGCCCTTTACCCCCAAGAATATTCCTGGTACTCATTTCTGTTAGAGGCTGAGTCGACCCCAGGGTCATAGTGCGGCTGGAAGGATTAGGTCAATTGAAAAAAAAAATCCAGCGACCTTATCGGGACTTGAACCCGCGACCTTCCGGCTTGTAGCATAGTGCCTCAACCACCTACGCTATCACGTGCCCCATTCTCTGATTGGTTCAATTTTAAATTTTCATTGGTCTTTAATTTTTATATTGATCAATCAACTACTTTTAGTAGTACTATTAGGCAAGAAGTTGATATGACTTTCTAATTAGGTCACTATTTCAACGCTTAGCCTGGCGTCCCTACTTTGAAATACGTGTTCTGAACACGTGCTACTTCAAAGATTTTGCCGCTGTGACGGGAAGTCAAATTTCCAAGAACAGCAATTTATTTCTGGTGATTAACACACGTTAATTATACTTTTTATATTACTCATTAACTTCGTAAATTAAACTACGCGGCAATGGTCTTTTTTCATTCATTCACTCATCCATCAATGGCTCTACAGCCCTTTGTTCGGCCCTGGCCTCTACTTCAGTTTCGTAATCTTTTTTCTCCAGACGGTAGGACTCCATGTACAAGTGATCAGCCCGTCGCAAGACCGCCACATATACAAAGGACAACACAAACACAGAATAAACGCGCGCACACACAGACATATATGCCTTTGATAGGAATTCGAACCCTTGATCTCAGCGTTCAAGTGAGCGAACATAGTTCATGCCTTAGACCGCGAGGCCACTGTCATCGACAACTGGTCTTTTTACGCTTACGCATTACCAACAAATATTAATTACATTTCTATTTTAAGTTAGAATTTTGAGTGCACGGAATTTTTATTTTGTTGAATTTTGAGGGGCTCGCACGGGAGAAGCCGCGAGCACTGTGATTTTAGGAGTAGCGTGGTAGGAAGGAGACGCGATGGAGTCAGATATCTTCCCCTTTTGCAAGCGTGAGTACTTTGCCTGTGTTCAGATCACTGATGGTGGTCAATTTCAATAACGATTAGGCTATGTATTTTGGTTTCTTAATTGACTCTTAGGGTAAAAACCTGTCAAAGGAATTTAACGTATCAACTTGGTTAATGAATTGTTGAAGTGTAAATTCTGACCAATTATTAGATTACATAAATTTTCGTTTATGGACTGATGGCTAAGAGATAAACGTTTGGTTCAGCAATTAAAGTTTTAGGATGTAACCTTTGGTTTGCTGGGGGTCACGCGGTAGCGTAGGTTTGTGAGGCACTATGCTACAAGCCGGAAGGTCGCGGGTTCAAGTCCCGATGAGTTCATTGGATTTCTTTCAAATGATCTAATCCTTCCAGCTGCACTATGGCCCTGGGGTCGACTCAGCCTCTAACAGAAATGAGTACCAGGAATTAATTAAATAATTTTCCTGGGGAGTAAAGCGCGGCCGCTGCGTAAGGCTGACANGTACACGCTGGTTACTGTTGACTTATAAACCGATCGTTAGGATATGGAATTTGATTTACATGTGATTGGTAGGAAATATAAAGTCTTTGAGTCAACTGTCTAGATAACGTGGGACCCTCAACGTCTCAAAACCCTACGGGCCTTCACGGCCTGTTACAGGGATAGCTTTACCTTTTTGTACCTTTGGTTTGCTAATAGATTATCAAAATATAAATTTGGTTACATGAATAATTGTTAGGGTATAGTACTTGATTTTGTACACGCTGGTTACTGTTGACTTATAAACCGATCGTTAGGATATGGAATTTGATTTACATGTGATTGGTAGGAAATATAAAGTAATTTGGGTTTGAGTGTTGGAACAGGAAATTTGGTTTGTACCATGTAGGTTTAAAGGAGTCCCCCCCCCCTTGGCACTACAGCCCCAGTGGGCCTAGGCTTACCTCCACGAACTTCTCCGTTCACTTCCTATACATTCGGTGGGACTCCTTGGGCGGGTTAATGGAGCTTGGTTAACCGATTTTACGAGGTACTTGTAATGAGTGAATTAGAATACTGTGTAAAATTATTGTATACAGGGTGTTTCACGACTTTCGGGCATAACTGCAGGAGGTGATTTCCTAGGTCTTTGTGATAAAAAAGTTCATATAAACATGTTTCCGATTTCGGACGGTTACGGAGTTATGACCTTTTTAAACTCAGAATAGAAGGTAACGATTACTGACAATAAACGGAACAAAATAATAAACCAGCATAATACATGATACATTTAAAGTACGAATGTAAAGCTAACTGCGTGAAATTACCTTTAATTTGAATTGATTGGTGCTTAAAGCTGATTTCCGAAAATGCCACCGCCGGCCGCAACACAGGCTGCCGCTCGGTTGTGAACCGCGCGGATAGCACGTAGCAGCTTCAGCTGGCTGTTTCTTACGGGGTCAGCGGCGTCCAGAATTCGACCGAGCAAAGCATCTCGCGTTGCCACCTTCACATTGTAAACCAGTTCTTTCATCCATCCCCACACACAATAATCCAGTGGGCTTAAGTCTGGAGACCTGGCTGGCAATTCTTCGCGTACTCGTACTTGGACTGCGGTGTACCATACGAACAATGCCTTCTTCATTGACGCCTTCATTAACACCACGCTCGGCTTCAATACGAACGCCGGGAAGTCTACCGGTATCTCGAAACGCCTGGTAAACTCCGGTTCTGTATTCTACGATTCAGAAACCGTTGCTGATATTCAGCTACGGCAAGAAATGAGTTACCGTCACAAAACCCGTACACATAAATCATATCTACATACTCCTCAAATGAAAATGTAAATGGCATCGTGAACGTAATAGACGCACCGAGATGAGAACTGTTCTGAACACCAGTAGCTACCACACTAGCCGTGGCCGGACATACCAACCCACCGCGCCTTAGGTACCTCTCAAGTGTCGAGATAACGAGAACGCTCTGCCTGTAGCTGGCTAAAAATAGCAACCCGCCAGATAATAGACGCGGTTCACACGAGGGCGTGTACGGGAATGAAAAAGCGGTCATAACTCCGTAACCGTCCAAAATCGGATACATGTTTATATGAACTTTTTTGATCACAAAGACCTAGGAAATCACCTCCTGCAGTTAAGCCCTAAAGTCGCGAAACACCCTGTATTTGTACTTGATTTTATTATTTGCTCTTGTTTTCATATGTTTAGTGTTTATTTAGGGCATTAGTAATAATTAATTAATTGGGCGGAGTAGAAGCTATCCACAGATGTTTAATTGGTGGCAGTTAGATGGAATATTTTAAATTCTGATGGTGGCAGCATTGGAATAAGAATAAAAAATTTGGGTGCCTCACCCCCCGCTGTCGTAATAATAAAATGGCCGAAAGGCGGGAGGCACAATAATTTGATGACAGCGGTAAGACACGTGTATAATAAAAATTGTTATAGTGATTAAGGTACTATGCTACAAGCCGGAAGGTCACGGGTGCAAGTCCCGATGAGGTCATTGGATTTTTTTCAATTGACTTAATCTTTCCGGCCGCACTAGGCCCTGGAGTTTACTCAGCCTCTAACAGAAATGAGTACCAGGAATTAATTAAATAAATTTCCTGGGGAGTAAAGCGCGGCCGGCGCGTAAGGCTGACAACCTTACAGCCATCTTTGAGCCGATTGTCTAGATAATGTGGGATCCTCAACGTTTCACAACCCTATGGGCCTTCACGGCCTGGTACAGGGATAGCTTTACTTTTTTTACTTTTTATATTTTCCATTCAGGCAGCTCCTCAATTCTCCTCACGAGGCTGAGTGGACCCCGTTCCAGACCCACTACTTCTCAGAAAATCTGGTAGTGCCGGGAATCGAATCCGGACCTCTGGATCTGTAGCCACGAACTCTGACCACTATACCACAGAGGCAGTCACCACTAATCAATAACAAACATTAATTATACTTAAAATTTAATGAATCTATCAAAAATGAAGTGATTCAAGTATAAATTTGATATACACCTACGTTTGAACAATTACATTTTTGTCGCCTATTTGCACTGTGTCTGACGTCGCTCTCCGTAACTCGGACCACATAAAGTCTCGACGACAGGGCGATGCTGAAAAATAATTTTGAAAGGAAGTGGAACGAAGCTGTAGTGTCTTTAACCTAAGGTACTATCCAAAAATCTGCCCGGTAGGACTGAGGAAACCTACGAAAATCCTCAGTGAATGCAGTCGCTGCCCCAGGCCCAGATTAGATTCCCAAACGTTGCCAATTGAGTCACCTGTTCCTTTACTTGATGAAGAGCACAAATTCTGAAGCCCCTTTATGGGAGCTCTACTCAGCCTCCTTTTGGAAATCCTAGCTGCAATATCCCACTGAATCTCAGTTGTTATTACTGACCTGTGTCCAGAAGGTGAAAACCCGCCTCTGTGGTCTAGTGGTCGGAGTTCCTGGCTATATATCCAGAGGTTCCGAGTTCGTTTCCCGGCGCTACCAGATTTTCTGAGAAGTAGTGGTTCTGGAACGAGGTCCACTCAGCCTCGTGAGGATAATTGAGGAGCTACTTGAATGGAAAAGTAGCGGTTCCGGTCTAGAAAACCGAAATTAACGATCGTGGGGATTCGTTGGGCTGACCACGCGACACCATCTATCCGCAAAAATTGGCATTAACTTCACCGACAAGCGGCGGTCGCTCGGCCGGTAGAGTTCGCTTGCGGACTAAGGCCACAGTTTGTCTTTGTGTCCAGGAGGTGACGCTGTGTCTGAGCTATGCCTCACATGCCTCTGTGAAGCTTCCTCCCAGTGCGACCTCAAGTTGCGCTGTGAGAACGACGCCTGTGGACCATTCCAAATCACCTATCTCTACTGGGTAGACGGGGGCAAGCGCGGAACAGGTAATGCCTCTCCAATATCCTATAAGCATGCATAAGAACTTCTGAATGCAGCGTCACCAGGAGGAACGCATGGTTGATATAAAGAAACACATTTTGGTAATTGTAAATGTATACGTCAGAAGTGTTACTGTAGGGGTGTCGGGTAGGTTGGGACCCGGCTCATGGTCCGTGCAGCAGTACAGCTCAAAACATTTTTCTGTATTGGATTTGTCTGTACTAACCACAGGCTAATCCCTTGATAAAGGCCGCGCCGTAGCTCAAGCAGTTAGTCGCTGGCTTCCCACCGCGGCAGCCCGGGTTCCAGCCCGGGTCTCGCCAAGTGGGATTTGTGGTGGACAAAGTGCTGCTGGTGCAGTTTTCCTCCGAGTACTTCGGTTTCCCCTGCCAATCTTCATTCCATCAAATTCTCCATCATTATAATCACCTGGGGCAGGTACAATTGCCCAATTAGTGGCCGACGTGCCGAGTGGACCCAGCTGGACTCCACCCCCAATACACGAATTAAAAGAAAACCCTTGGTATTACTGAGTTCTGTCTGTTCATAGGTTGGGAGACCTGTTCCATGGACCTGCAGTGCGCGACGGACACTGTGCGCGGCTACATGCACAAATACCAGAAGGTAAGCTCAAAGAGGCGGTTCCCAGCTGACGGACATCAGTGGCTCGCTCGTGTTGGGCGCGCACGAGCTAAGGAGAACTCTTATACACGTGCATATTTTCGTGTTCCTTTATTTGTAGTTCGATTTACATCGGATATCGCCTTATAGCGACAGGGACTTGCATTTTATGATCGCATGAGATTTCCAAAATTCTGGCGGCAGTGACTGTTGAAATGACGGTTTCTTGGTTTGTGACGCACTGTACCAACGCGGTACCTAATTACATGGGGTCCTATCCCTGAGAATCGAAATCTGAATTTTATTATCGAATAATCTCTTTTAATAAATTCGTATCATCTCGGCTGGTTCTTGGAGACTAGCCACACAGTGAACCAGACCTGCATAAATTTCGTATAAAGCTAGGAGACAGAACCGCCTCTGTCGTCTAGTGGTCAGAGTTCCTGGCTACAAACCGAGGTCCCGGGTTCAATTCCATGAGCTATCAGATTTTCTGAGAAGTAGTGGGTCTGGAACGGGTTCCAATCAGTCTCGTGAGGATAATTGAGGAGCTATTTCAAGGAAATAGCGGCTCCGGTCTAGAAAACCGAAATTAATGGCCCTGAGGATTCGCTGCGCTGACCACGCGACACCCTCTATCCGCTAAAGTTGGAACTAACTTTGACGACAAGCAGCAGTCGCTCGGTCGGTATAGTTCGCTTGCGGACTAAAACCACGGAGTTTATTTTTACTAGGAGAGAGAATAAAAAATGAAAACTTCCTCGGATGAGAAATGTGTTCGTCTTTATTAACAAAAGAACAAATAAAAATCTACATATAAATAACAGTCAGTTCTGTCACACTGAGGAACATCCCAGACGTCCTTTTTATTGCTGATGCTGGAATAGGGAGGAAGGAAGAATGATAGGATAGGGAAATAGAAGGCAGGGAATAGAAGCAAATGTTCTAGTGGGAAACAGTCGCCTGCTTTCTTTCATACGACATGCACCGCATAGGAAGCGAAAAAATTAGGGGGGACACAGATAGCACGGTGATCTCATAAGCCTCCTAACAAATATTACGGGGGACACACACAGGCTGGCAAACAGCAAGGTGATACCATATGCCTCAAAAGCTTAAAAAATTAAGGGGGGTACATAGACAGATGGACAAACACACACGGATATGCAGACAGGAAACAACCTTTTTACTTTTTCACAAAAAAAGGAAAGTATCCTAAGAAGCGAGGAAAGTGGAAAGGAAGGATGAAAAACATGGAGAAACGGAATAACAGGAGTCAGTGAGACTGTTCAGCTTGAAAGGAGAGACAAGAAGGAAAAGGAAGATAAGTGACGATATGATAAGTTGGTAGGGGAAAAGGGAACAAGATGACACAAAAGCAAATAAGAGAGGAAGAATCGCCAGCAGTAATATGAGACAATTCGAAGTGTCATTATGAAAAGTTTTAGGCGCCCAAAATTTGTGCAGGTCTGCACCGAACGATGGAAACTAACAAATTGTATTTAACGTTATCAAAATTTCGGTAGAGGCATCCCCCCCGGGTGTAATATATACACTGACATGCCTCGACTTACTTGAATTATGTCGAGATATCTTCTCCAATCTCGATATCACTCAGTCTCCAGAATCTCGCTTATAAAAATGGCAAGCTTGACCTAAAAGTGGGGTGGACACTTAGGTAGGAGAGGCTTAAAGTGACTCATCCTTACTTCTTACATCCTCACTGGTTCCTGCGGAACCCGCTCTCGACACAAAGCAACAGTACATGACTTCAGCCCGAAGGTACCTATTGAGTGGGCAGCACGCCGGCCTCGTGTCCGGGTTCAGCATACATGGCGACCGGCTATTCTGAGGATTTTCCTACTTTCGTCAGCCGATATAAGCAAATTCCGGTACAGCTTATGAAACTGGGCCAATACCGCCTCCTACCGCATCCCTTCCAATTCAGTATTCACTTAATGCTTAACTAAGCATCACGTCACGAAGACATGTGAGAAATGGAGGTACAGCTTCACACATTCTTAAACACGGCAGTAGACGCAGGGGCGAATCTAGCTTCACGCATCTGTCGCTTTAGGGCTGGGGGCATTGTATACGAGGATGGATGTGTCCCAGAGCCGGTCTGGACGTCCCTGTCAGGAATCGAACATCAATTCCGGGTTTTAAGGTCCGAAGCCTAGATTATATACCGACGAAGCTATTCCTAACAGCGTCGTTGAATAAGCTCTAACTACCTGCATGGAGGTGAGTCCTTCTTGAGAAGCCGCCAGTCGCTCAGCTACTCAAGAATTTCCCAACATTTTATGAAACCCGAAGGTTCATTACCATGTACAAAAAAACCTCCATCGATCCCTACCCTGAGCCATATTAATCCAGTCCATACCACCCCATTCTATTTCTCTAAGATCAATTCTAATATTATCTTCTCGCCTATGTCTAGTGGTGACATACTGGCCTCTTCCATTCTGGTTTTCCCCACTAAAACCCTATATGTTTTCTTCTTCGGCCAATGCGTGCTACATTCCCTGCCTATCTCAGCCTTCTTGACCTGATCATTCTAATTGCATTGAAGAAAGAGAACATGTTATGAAGTTCCTCATTATAGTTTTCTCTAACTAATTCATCCCTCTTCCTTCCAAATATTCTCCTCAGCACGCTGTTCTCAAACACCCTAGGGTGTACCTCCTTTAACCCACACAAAACTGTAAGAAAAACTCCGTTGCTTTAGTCCGCAAGCGAACTATACCGACCGAGCGACAGCCGCTTGTCGGCGAAGTTGGTGCGGTTCCTGGCTACAGATCCAGATGTCCGGGTTCGATTCCCGGCGCTACCAGATTTTCTGAGAAGTAGTGGGTCTGGACCGGGGCCCACTCAACCTCGTGAGAATAACTGAGGAGCTATTTCAAGGAAATAGCGGCTCCGGTCTAGAAACCCGAAATTAACGGCCGTGGGGATTCGTTGCCCCGACCACGCGACACCCTCTATCCGCTAAAGTTGGCACACAAAACTACATGTTAAACAAAAGAAGGTAAAACTATTCTTGTGCCGGTCACGGTAGCCGAGCGGTCTAAGGCATGCACTGTCTTCGCTCGCTCGAAAGCCGAGATCGTGGGTTCGAATCCCACTCAGGGCATGGATGTTCAGTTTGTGTGTGTGCGTTTTTCTGTGTTTGTGTACAGGTAGGGGCCTTGCGACGAGCTGATCACCCGCCCAAGGATTCCTACCGAATGTGTAAGATCTAGAAAAACCGAAGTGAACGGAGAACTTCATGGAGGTAGGCCTAGGCCCACTGGGGCTGTAGTGCCAAGGAAAAAAACTATTCCTGTAACAGTCTGTGGAGCGCCATAAAGTTGTGAGACATTGAGGCTCCCAAATTTTCTAGACAGTCAGCTCACAGATGGCGGTAAGGTTGCCAGCCTTACGCGCCGGCCGCCCTTTATCACCACGAGGATTCCTGGTGCCCATTTCTGTTCAGAGGCTGAGTAGAGTCCAGTACCACAGTGCGGCTGGAAGGAGTAGGTCAACTGAGAGATAAACTATAAACAAGTAAATGTATCATACCGCTTTTCGCAGTGAATTGCCCGAAGGATGTTATTGATGCAGGACTGCGACGGAGATGGCCAAACCGACTGCGGGGACTACGCGCGAATTCACAAACTGGGGGGAGTGGGCTGCATCAACGAGCCGGATGAAGGCTTCGATGATTTCAAAAGTGACCTTGACGCTTGTCTTGCAGAGGTCAACGCTTCCATGCCTGGGATACCTTAACAACCGTCAAAAGACCTCCTTCCTGCAAATACCATGTTTATTTGCATGTGGAGACTTAACCATGAATTTCTTAATTTTATTCCTGTGTAGCTGTAACCAGAGCCGGAGGGACAGCACATACGAACTAGGCGCACCCCCGCACCCCCACCCTGCTGCGGCACATTTTGCATTTTTGTTGCATGATAATTTCTGCTGATCCTTTCTTCATATTGTGACCATTAATTTGCAGTCAGCTCAACATGTCACGCAGCAATGTAAACAGAACTCTTAAGACTTTACTACTTCAGTGACGGTTTCTGTGAGTGTCTGAAAACTTTTTGCTAATGACTGTGACGAAGTTTCGTGAACGTCAGTTTGTTTTCTGAGACTGGGGTAAGATAGCGGAATTCCCCGTCAGCTGGGGCGATAGATAGATTTTCTCCGGCCCTGGCTATTTTGAAAAGTCATTGTGATCACCATCTTATAAAAGACACAAGTAATATTAAAATATTATTACTTTGTCATTGTAACAAGCGAAATAAAGCATGTGCTCACTTGAAATATGAAGTTAATTAACAGATGCGGAGTCTCCTGCAACTCTGTCCGAACATCCCCAACCTATAAACTAATCGAGGCCGTGCAATAGCTCAGGCGGTTAGTCTCCGGCTTCCCATCACGGCAGCCCGGGTTCGAGCCCAGGTCAGATCATGTGGGATTTGTGGTGGACAAAGTGACATTGGGGCAGGTTTTTTCGAGTATTTCGGTTTCTCCTGCCAATTCTCGTTTCACCGACTGCACTACACTCATCGTCTATCATCCGGAGCTGGTACAATTGGCCAGTTAGTGGCCGATGTACCAAGTGGACTCGGTATCACCTCACCCAAAGAAACTAAAGTAAACTATAGATAGATAGATGGACAGAGAGGCTGGCAGATTTAAAAGAATGTTGCGAGCTGTTGTGAAATACACGTAAATTTATTTGGCTCATGACAGGGACCAGTCAGTGGTGACGTCATGTGAGCATAGTAATGAACCCTCGGGTTTCATAAACGTCAAAAAGTTGTCGAGTAGCTGAGCACCTATGAGATTCTTAACGAGGACCATTTCCGATGTACGAGTAGTTAGTCTTAACTAACTGCACTGCTGGTGTGATCGATTTTCCAGAAAGCGCATTTTAAGATGTGACGCCGTGTACTCTTGTAGAAAATTTCAAACGTTTCGGAGGATTCTGCTCTTCGAATATTGTGAGCAAAGACTGAGTCGCGCGGTAGGTAAACGAAGACAGAATACAGGGTTACGTGGGGGTCACCATCTTTTTCCGTGCGGACTACTTTTCAACCTTGAAGACGGAGGCAGCAGGTTCCTCCGAAATGATGGTAACTTTGTCAGACCACATGGTCTCACATTCCAGACAGCAGCGATTTCGCATTCGCTGCTCTGATAACATCAAGACTGACTAGAAGCCGGGCTGAGCCACACCATGTCCACGCTAAGAGAGTTGTACGCATGGGTTCCGGCTTCGTAACTGGTTAAAGGGTTTATATAAACTGGTTAGTTAGGACCAAAAGCAATATAACTGATGTAAACTAAACGTAAATCACGATGCTGCATTACTGTACGCCAGATGTGTTGCTCTGCAGTCTCGTTTGTGAATTTTTTTATTATTATTATTTTTGCCAGTTTACAGTCTACTTAACCGTAAAGGAAGTAACAAGTAAATGTGATATATCTTCTTATGTCTTGAAGGCAGTAACTGCCCATGGGCGGTTCTCATCCATTTCATTTCTTAAATCTTCTGGCCACTTTTTCTTCCATCTTCTTGCAGTAGCGTGTGGGTTCGATAGCTCATCGATTAGCTGGTTCTCACGGCCTGTAATCCGGTTTTGGTATTTGTTATCTTGGTTTTTGATCTCATCCATTATGAAGGGTATGTTGAGGTCTTCGTGGATGGTTTTATTTGATACGTACCGCGGTGCTCCTGCTATACCTCGTAAAGTTTTCGATTGAAACGGTTTGTGAAATGTAATAATTTTTTTTTTAGTTTCATGGAATGGGGTGAGACCGAGTCCGCTTGGTACGTCGGTTACTATTCAGTCTATTGTGCCAGCCCCGGATGATAGATGATGACGAATATGCAGCAGTCGCTGGAATGAGAATTGGCAGAGGGAACCGAAGTACTCGGAGAAAAACCTGGCCCCGTGCCACTTCGTGAACCACAAATCCCACATGATCTGATCGGGGCTCGAAACCGAGCCGCCGCGGTGGGTAACTGGCGAGTAACCGCCTGAGCTACGGCACGACCTGTGAAATCAAGCAACCATGAAGTCTGCGATTATAAAGTTCATCCGATGGTAACATTATGCAGTCCATCTAAGTAAAACTGTGTCACTGGACCGAGAATTTCAGTCGTAGTTTGAGCGTAGAACATTAAGCTGAAGTTGTGCCTGCGCACCACGTCTTGAAGACGTCTGTAGCCCCACGCATACGTAACATATACGGCAATGTGGCGGAATTTCAACACGCTCCGGGGAAACAACCCTCGATACCCACGAGCTAGGAAGCTGGTTGAGCTCCAGAACAGACAGCGACACTGTGAAGTTTGCTCCTTCCGGCAATCGAACACCGATACCCCAGCCGTAGAGCAAGAAGATTAGCTATTACAGTAAACCCTCGCCAATCCGGATTAATTGCGGAGATGTCATTCGGACTGATTGATAATGCGGATTAATGAAGCAAAAGATAGCTCTAAAAATCTTAAAAGATAAATACATGGAAAACGTAATAACACAGGTAGTAGAGGTAGGGCTATCTCTATAATAGGCCGTGGAGACCCACAGGGTTGTGTGAGTGAGACTGCAAGTGCAAACACGAAATTCAGCATCTGTAGTCTCTCTCTCTAGGTGCATTGTGAGAGTCGGAGTTCGAGTCCCGTTAGGGTCAAGAATGATCTCTTCTCCATGTCGTCCAGACCATCTCTGGGGCCAGACACCCTACTATCCAATGGGTACCAAGGCCTTTTTCCCCAGGGGTAAAGCGGCCGGAGGGTGAAGCTAACCACTTACCTCCAACTAGTGCCGATATCAAGAAAACGTGGACCTACACATCCACTCCCCCATACGTCTTCATGACTTCTTCTTAATTAGATAAGCACAGGGACTTTAACCGTTCATTGTAATCGGGCCCATTATAACAAATATTTCTTTTGAATTACTAAATTTTAATCTTTTTAATGAATTAACTTAATTAGTCAAAAGGGCCGCGCCATAGCTCAACCGGTTAGTCACTGGCTTCCCACCGCGGTGGCCCGGGTTCGATCCCGGGTCTGACCAAGTGGGATTTGTGGTGGAGAAAGTGGCGCTGGGGCAGGTTTTCTCCAAGTACTTCGGTTTCCCCGGCCAATGTTCATTCCACCAATTGCTGCACAATCACCCTCACCTATCATCTGGGGCTGGTACAATACGCCAGAAGTGGCCGCAGTACGAGGGACTTAGTCCCACCCCACTAGCAATAAAAAAAATAATAATAATAAGTCAAATATCGAGGGCCAACTATTGTTGTCACTGTGTGCTACAGAGTTCCCCCTGTCCTGCTAGAGCAAGGCCCGTTAAAATCCAGGGACTCAGCTCCTGTTCTACTTGACTCAATCCTGAGTTAGTCATCCCGCTACATAACCTTGCCAGACGGCATCCTACACATTTGCAGCCTCAGCCGCCTGGCGACTACTGGCGCCCAAACAAGTCCTTCAGACTTCCCAGCCAATCATATTAACACCCACGGAAGGGAAGGAGGTAAGGATAAACTCAGACCAGATGAGTTCTACAACCACGGACATAGCGGCAAACTTAGCCGCTACGAGGGGTCGTTTCCAAATCGGCGACCACCATGCTTAGAAACTCGACTATCCAAAGGGTAGAACTGATTTAAGCCGCTAACACCGCGGGTCGCTCCCGACGTATTGCATATAACAACCTGCGGAGAAGAGAACAGCTACAATACTGTGGCATGTACACCCGCTGCTAGGCAACGACCGCGAAAGAAACAACTACACAACCGTTACTCAGTAATGGCTTCGCAAACAAGCACACTACACGACTGTAGAGGCAATAGAGGAACGGTGTTTTCTGTGCGGTCCGAGTCGAGATGTTATAAGGAGGCCGGTTAGTGAGAGGCTTAAACTTGGCGGCGGTCAAGCTTACGACCGTTCGAGTGACTAAGCTGCCGTTGTAGCAGAAGATAAGTAAGATAGACATGATCTGCTCTGTAAAGCCTGTATTGACAGAGGACTTGTATGTAGTACACAAGGAAGAATTTTCAATAACATGCTATATGTGTGATACGTACATTTGAAAAAGTCAAAGCGTGTTCATAAGAGACATACCCATACCCTCGTCAGAGAGTACGTTACACAACGGCTATGATCGCAAGGGTTCAGTTACAAAAAAAATATCCCTGGTCGTGAGCTTCAAGAGGCTTGGCAGTAAACCGCCAGCCGCAAAGTAACTCTACCTCTGACTCTGACCCCCGAGTGAAGGCGGGTTCGAGTACCCCAAATGTAACCCTGACAGTCGTAGCAGGCGACGGAAAACGAACCCAGTGCCTGAGGTATAAGTGGGTCATCCTGTTCCTGTGGAATGTAAATACGGGGACCTGGCACTCCAGGTTGCAGGAATCTCGAATCGGAGGAAGTAAAATATGGTCATGAGCCCCGCAGGGCTCTGACCCGAGAATGCACTGACGAGGACCAACAGCAATTGTAAACGACAGACCCGTCCTCTAGTCTGACAGTAACAAAAATTTGGTCTTTGGCCCTAGATGGTTGCTTGACACCAAGACAGACTGCCAGACTGATCGTCGGTCGTAACTTTGACTTTGATAACGAGTTAGTTGTGGGGCAGTCGCCAGCCAGCAAGAACATCAGCACGGAAGCAGAAGACATTGTTACGTTCCGTTACCAGACAACGACTGGTGAAGACACAGCAGACTGAGAAGACTCAGTACGTGCTGTAGTGAACTGCAGAGTGTGTGAATTAGCGAGAGCGCTATAGTTACGTATAGTTACGATCTACAGGAGTTCAATAAATCGAATTCCCAAGCCAATCCCAGTACATTGTCACTCATACGCACCAGTATTGTCACGGGAGTTGTCAGGCAGGTTCCATGTCTCAGACAGAGTGATCCATAAACAAGCTTGGTTTACATAAGGCCATATGTGGATTTTTCCTTTTGTCCCTTAAACCCCACAGAGTTCACTAAAATTCGACTTGACACTTTCACAGAAGAATTTCAAATTTCAGGAATAGAACGTATCCACAATAAAACACATCGTAGTACATATAAGGCTAGAAATGAACTATGCCATGCATCATATTTCACATACTGTTTTTTTTTTTTTTTTTTTTTTTTTTTTTTTTTTTTTTTTTTTTTTTTTTAAAAATTCCATTCGAGGCAGTTCCGATTTTCATCGGAATGGACGCATTATTTTTGTATACTACATAAACCCTTCCATAGGGTTTGTTGAAATTTCGAAAGACCTTCGCTAATTTGAATTTCATTTCCCATTTTTATACTAGCTTAATAAACTTCAAAGCCGGCCGCTGGTAAATCTGCACATTACACACGTCAAAATCTAAAATTAGAACACAGTTTACTTTATTTGCTTTGGGAAGGGGGGAAGTGCCGACTGTGAGAGATCTGAAGACATATGAATGTATGGCATAGAAAAAAATCGGTGCTACATGTTTCAGCCACTTGCAGATTAAGAAGTCCGCATATAACACAGCATATCATATCCGAAACTTAAAAACAAAGTCGTTTCGAAGGTGACGGTTAAGTTGTCCCTCTGCTTAATTAAGCATGACGAAATGAAGAAATCTGAGGGCGTGGAAGCAGTGTAGAATGGCTGTACCATTCTTAGCCTCGGCACTAGACGGAGGTGTGTGGTCAGCTTCACGCCCAGGGCGCTTTATCTCCGTAGAGTTCCTGGTACCCATCGGATAGGAAGCTGGCTGATCTGCAGAGCCAGTGTGGACTCTGACCCTTCCGGGAATCGAAACCCGATGTCTGGCCCGCAATCTGGTCATTATACAACATTTCTCAGTACCTGATGTAAGGGTTATACACGATCAGCTTCAGACGATGTGCTTTACAGGAAGACCCTTGGCTGGATGGGCCCGACTTCAACATTTCGTTTCTGCGAATGGTAGGCCAGAGTTCGTCCTAAATGGAACTTGTTATATCGAGATATGGAAGCTTCCAGTTGTATATCGTACTCTTTTACGTTTCCTAAGCCGTTTTGCGTTGCATGAGTCATGAGAATACTTCTGAAATAAATGTATGCAATATGCTGAGCATTGCTGCAGAAAAGAGAAGCCTTTGGGTAGCCCACGCGCAGTCGTCACACCAAGGCCAGCCCTGTCACCGCAGTGTTGGTCTGCAAGCATGGCGGGCGGATGCTGCGTGCTGCTACTCCTGCTAGCAAGTTCCGCTTCAGCGGGTAAGTGCTTGCTACTTACGTACTTAACGAACTGTACTGAACGTTTACAGTGTAGGCCTACTGCCAACAGACACGTTTGGCAATACTGTCCCCGTGGAGTAAACCAATTTCGGATTCACATACAACTGTTTACTGCTAGGCCATGATATTCAGATCAGCGAGAAGTCAAAACAAACTGAGTAAACAACCATTATTATGCGGCCTCCGTAGTCTAAGGGTAACGTTCCCACCTCATGACACGGGTTCAAACCCGGCGGAGGTCGTGGAATTTTTAAGGGCGGAAAAATTCAGGGAACAAGTCCTCCGGGAAGGACTTTAAGCCGTGGGTCCCGTGTCGTAGATTTACGGCACGTAAAAGATCCTCATGTCTCTAGGAGACCTCTGAGCAAAACTAGGCAACACATTTCCCGCCCAAGTAGTTTCCAATGCCTCTGGTAGATGGGGGAAATATCAGGTACCGAGGGCCGACCTCGTTGGCTGAACGGGGCTGATAGCACGCACCAGTACCGGTAGGGTATGGCGACAGTAGAAATTAAAAGGGGACGCACAATGGACCAATAACTGGTCTAAGTGCATGGGGAAACCCACACCCTCTAATAATAATAATAATAATAATAATAATGGCTTCATACCCACTGTTGTATGAACTGTTTAAACATATCCTTCCATTCCTATGGTTTTCTTTTATTGCTAGTGGGGTGGGACTAAGTCCCTTGTACTGCGGCCACTTGTGGCCTATTGTACAGCCCCAGATGATAGGTGAGGGTGATTGTGGAGCAATTGGTGGAATGAAGATTGGCAGGGGGAACCGAAGTACTCGGAGAAAACCTGCCCCAGCGCCACTTTGTCCACCACAAATCCCAGCGACTAACCGCTTGAACTATGGCGCGGCCAGTTCCTATGATTAATATACCGTTACATAAAAAGAATATAACAAATATGATATTAATGCATTCTAACAACAACAAAGACTTTCTTTTGTTTTTCTTAATTGTGACTGAGTTCATGAGGTCATTCATGGCTGCTGGATACACAATTCGAAAATGCCATAACATTCTAATTATTTTGAAAACCATAAGATACTCGTATACAAAGAAAGCTGCGTGAGAGTAAAAATATGTTTAATTTACAATTTAACTCTATTCATTCTGATCTGTCACACTACTAAAGCACAGAACAGTGCCTCAGAACACAGCAAAAAGGAAAGAACTACACATCACAACGATACAGAACCACAACAAGCTAAAAGGGGGGGGGGAATCACTGCGAGGACCTCTGAGGACTCCAAATTATACCCCAACTTTCCGTTTTAACAGAAAAGGTACAAGTACCATATCGGTTCAAGATCTTAAATGTATTATACATTAATAAGATTTTAATCCAAATAACTGTAAATGTCTTTTTTATATATAAAACTTCTAAGTTTGTGTTACAAACTTTGTAATAGTAGTTCTGAACACGCTCATCGTAAAGGCAATAAATATCTACAGATTGAATCACACTAGACGGTATTAACAATTATTGTATAATTTAGTCTCTCTATAACGTTTATTCGAAACATTTCGTCGGTTACTTAATGTGTTAAATGCAGAAACCCACGTGATTCATCATGTAAACTGATCGTTAAACCTGTCCGATCTGAACGAAAATTTAACTTGTCTCGATAATCTTTTCGCAGAATTCTTCGGTATATAGTTTCACGAAAACCTCTCCTGTGGTGCGCGAGTCCTTTCTGCGTACAGTCGGCCGGAGTGAATGAATATGATAGGCGTTCCACAGGGTTTCGAACATGCGTCAAACAAAATAGTTTTTGGTACTGGCATTTGTTTCACAGCAGAATACATCATGGCTGGATCAAGTGGAATTTAGTAGTGCTATTTTAAGCAGATGTGGTTATACAGCGAAGTTGATCATCTCTGAAAATTGGCCACCCGTCAATTTGCTGGCCCCTTTAATGAACCATCAAAACTGTATTTACACACAACCTGGCCCTCCTTAATATCTTGGAGAAATAAGATATGGTGGTACAGTCTGAATTAATATGGCTGAGGATAGCGACCAGATGCAGGCTCTTATGAACATAGTAATGAACCTTCGGGATCCAGAAAATTTGGGGAAATGCTTTAGTAGCTGAGTAATTGATAGCTTTTCATGAAGAAATAAGCTCCACGTAGAACATAAACCAATTCTTTGCAGTAACTCTGCACTAATATATCGTCTCACTAACCACAACGAATAACGTACCTCCACTATCGTCCAGTATTTTGCTCCACCTCATTAAGCACTAAAATTTCGCCCCACTAACCGCAACGATTAACGTACCTCCATTATCGTCCAGTATTTTGCTCCATCAGTTCTATCCTTGGCATCCACCGGCTTCAACCACCACCACGCTTTGTTCTGGCCCCCACATGTGCGATAGCAGTGAGCGCACACTCTGGTGGAAGAATTAAACACTTTAAGAACTATCTCTCATTGAGGTCTGGACAGTTGCAGCATCTGGTGACAAAGGTAGTAAACCATCTGTAAATTAGGTGAGAGCCAAATACAATAATGATGTAACTTTTACACTCTCGTAGCGGTCGTAACTGTATTTTCACATGAATTAGGATCAACGTCGTGAGAATACATCAATAGTACCTACGTAAAATAACTCTTCTTTGCATAACGAATAAAATGTCATATGACGGATGTGAGTTAAAAAAAACTGGATTTGATGAATCATTACTCCTAATGTAGAATGCGTTTCAACAAGAGGCAGCGTAAGAAAGGCAAATTCACGCGGCTGAGCAATCGAAATATAGAGTTTGTGAATCGCACAGATTAGATTTTCGTTGAAGGGGTTGAAGCGCCCTGTACGGCCATTCCTGGAACCGTCTCAACGCAGGCGAGTAGATGGAAATACACACCGACTGTTGCGTCATCAGATTGCAAAACTAGCGCAAGTTTCAACCACACACGGAACTGCTGGACAAACACTGACCTTTCTCAGGGTAACGGAATATGCACAAACTCAAGGTCGATTGACATTATATGCCTGACTCAGTTGCACTAGCCGTTTTTCAAAACCAGATGTAGTGACCGAAACGTCGTGGTGTAGTGATTAGCAATCCTGTTTCGTATTTGGTAGATCCTGGTTTCAAATCTCGGATTACAATCGACTACCCCGAAATAAGTTTGCATTGTTTTCCTCAATTCCTCCTTATTTTAGATGAAGACTACGATCGTTTCCTTCAATGTCATTTCCAGTTGGTCCTTCATTGATCTCCCTGCCACTCGACGCTAGGCTGTCTCAGTTAATGACTGTACAGAGAAAAAGTAAAGCTATCCCTGCAAAAAGCCATGGAGGCCCATAGAGTTGTGAGACGTTGAGGCTCCCAAATTTTCTAAGCAATCGGCTCACAAATGGCGGTGAGGTTGTCAGCCTTACGCGCCGAACACCGTTTACCCCCAGGAAGACTCCTGGTATTCATTTCTGTTGGAGTCTGAGTCGATCCCCGGGCCATAGTGAGGCTGGAAAGATTAGGTCAATTTAAAAATCCAATGACCTCAACGGGAATCGAACCCGCGACCTTCCGGCTAATGACAGTACAGATCGTTAAATAAACAGACAAAAAGAGATGTAGTATTTGTACACCAATTATTGGGCTCATCTGGAATTAGATAATGATTGGTCTGAACACTATATGCAGTGATGTTGTGTTGTAGCATTCGGCTGCGTTGCGTCCACTTCTTACTTACACTGCCGGCTGACACGCAACTCGCGCTACAGTTTTAAAAATTAAACATTTTCAGATTTTGAAACCCTCAGTTGTTTCAAGTCGCATATCTTCACTTGGCACATCTACGAGTATTGCACAACATGCTTCAGCCTATTCGGCCATCATCAGGTGCATTAAAATCTTTGGATAAATCCATGCATTTTACGTCGTGTTTCGTGTCCATACGTTCCCCAAAGTTTATGATTTAAATTTAAAATCCAAAGTCTAATGTCATTTATCCGCAGCATGTGTTATAAACTGGTATATCGGTAGCATGCGTTAATATTTTACATGTGGGATACATTGATATTACTATTAATACAGCTGAATATGTACTTTCTTTTGTGGTAGGGCGCGCCATGGCTCAAGCGGTTAGTCGCTGGCTTCCCACCGCGACGGCCCCGATTCGATCCCGGGTCTGGTCAAGTGGGATTTGTGGTGGACAAAGTGACGCTGGGGCAGGTTTTCTCCGAGTACTTCGGTTTCCCCTGCCAATCTTCATTCCACCAATTACTCCACAATCACCCTCACCTATCATCTGAGGCTGGTACAGTAGGCCACAAGTGGCCGCAGTACAAGAGGCTTAGTCCCATCCCACTAGCAATAAAAAATTAAAAATAAAAATATTTTTTTTGTGGTAATGTGTGTGTTTCCTTCCGTTGTGTTGCGTGTACATGTTGTGAGCGTTCTGTAGAGTTAGTTCAGGTTTATGTAGGGTATGGGGTGTGTTCGCTTCTATCTAGTATTTAATTCTTGTAGTGTTTCAGATATCAGGTTATAGTATATGTACAGCGAGTTTTTTAACACTGTTGACCGGTTCGTGGCTGTGCACTTCACGGCGACCGGTGTACTGCTTGCCGCGAGGCGCATACGAATTTTGCAGATGAATCAGCATGTCTGATGACCGATAACGTTTGGAATGAATGGAAGTATAATTAACTTGTGGACCGCTTGATGACATTATGTTTCACGGAAACAGTGCGGTTCATGCGTGGGAGTTTATTTGTGATATGTCAGCAGTGGGCAGCAGTTATCGGCTCCATTAGTCATATGTGCTCAGTTACAGTTAGTGAGCAGTGCGTTACATCATGGTGTGGTGTACTTTATAGCAACGTGTATTTCTGTATGACACCTGTGTGAAATGCTAGAAAGTGTCAGCGAAAATTTCGACGTAAATTCCGTGATGAAAGAGTTACCAGCAGACATACAATTCACAATCTGGTGAATAAACTTAGAACAACGGGACTCTTAATAGACAAGAAAAAGACGTAAGCGCCAAGTGCTTATTGAGGACAGCTTAAATGACACAGGGGCCAGACTTGAAGGTACGCATAGGAGATCACTGAAACGTCTAGCTCAAGAGACTGAAGTGTCAAAGCCTAGTGCAAGAACTGCAATATAATTGCTAAAGCTTAGACCCTAGAAAACAGTAACCTGCGCCTTGCAGCTGGACCACCCAAATAGCAGGGTTCATTCTTGCAGTTAGTTTCTTCAGTTTGTCGTCGCAGGTGAGATCGATGCGCAGTTGACATTCCTTTCCGATGAAGTGTGGTTTCACTTGCAGCGATACATAAATACGCAAAATAATCGCTGCTGGAGTTCACAGAATCCACAACTAACTCACCAAATCCCGCTCCATCCAGTGAAAATTGGTGTGTGTTGTCTTATAAATGCAAGAAGGGTTCTTGTACCTGTGTTTTTTAACGAAATAATTAAGTGCGAAAGATGTCTACGTGCAGAGGGACAGGATTTTCTGCATCTCTGCTGATCTGTAAATCGTTAACTTCTTCATTCCGAACGTTGTCGGCCGTCAGGCTTGCCGATTCGTGGGCAAAATTCGTATGCGCTTCACAGACGGCGGTTCACCGGTCGCCGTGAAGCGCAGGGCCGTGAAACCGGTGAACAGTGTGTGTGTGTGTGTGTGTGTGTGTGTGTGTGTGTGTGTGTGTGTGTGTGTGGCCTGTAGTCCGCAAGCGAACTATACCGACCGACCGACCGCCGCTTGTCGGCGAAGTTAGTGCCAAATATGTGCAGTAGATATGTTAAATAGGGGGCATGCGGTAGCGTAGTGGTTGAGGCACTATGCTACAAGCCAGAAGGTCGTGGGTTCAAGTCCCGATGAGGTCATTGGATTTCTTTCAGTTTACCTAATACTTCCAGCAGCACTATGGCCCTGGGGTAGACGCAGCCTCTAACAAAAATGAATACCAGAAACTTTCCTGGGGGGATACCTATACTTTTACTTATACNGAACCGATTGTCTAGATAGTGTGGGACCCTCAACGCCTCACAACCCTATGGGCCTTCACGGCCTGGTACAGGGATACCTTTACTTTTTACTTTTCTAAGATATGTTAAATAAGGACATACAGCTCAAAACTATTGAGAGTTTCAAAATCGAAAAGTTTTAAATATCGATTTTAAAATCGTAGTGCGAGTTGTATGTTAGACGGCAATGAATACATGACTAAAACTATATGAAGTTTTTACGCTCCATGATTAGGTATTCAGAGGCTCGTTTATAAGTATCGTATTAAGATAAGTTTGACATTATCAGAAGTGGCTTTGAGAGATGAGTCTGCCAAATTTTACTCGGAGATGTGTCGTTATTCCGTATATTTGTAAGTTGTTTCAACTTTCTGCCATTGTTTTCGTAAAGGTTTCTGCAGTTTGAAATTAATGGAGCACCCTACAATACGCTCGAGAACTCAGACTTCAGTGATAGTACGTAAAGGATCACTACACCGGGACCTGTTTCCCAGAAATAAAGCGGCAGAGGCGTGAAGCTTCATCTACTGCCAAGATCAAGAATGGTGGAGCTGTACCTCCAGTCCCCCATTTGTCTTCATGGCCTAATGCTTAATTAATTAAGTACAGGGATAACTTTACCTTGCCTTTTAGGGTCCAAAGGCACTAGGACTGCTGTGAGTTACTGTTACAATGCCACTGTTGAATTTCTGTATAACCTGTTTGATACTGTTTCAGCGCTAGTGACGAATCTCCATGGTGCCTGTTTTCCTTTTCCTTTCGCTACTGCAGTGTTGTATAGCAGAGCTCCACGCGGCATGTTCCTTATTGTTGCAGTGTTTGTGTAGTATCCTGACGAGATCTTTTCCTTGAAGTTATCATACGCATGTCGAATTTCCAAGTGGCTTCCATTTTGTTGTTGTGATACGTCAAATTCCCATGCAATGCACGCTTCACCGTTACAGTGTTCGTATTTTCGTTATGAATCTCCACGTTAGCCCCTTCGTGAGATACTTTCACACGGCCTGTTTCTTAATGTTTGCAGCCTTCGTGACGAATCTCCACGCAGCCTGTTTCCGTTGCTTGTGCCAGGCCGCCAACGAATGCTCCACTAATCGGCCCTGTTCTAAGGGCTATTGCGGTCCATTTTCCATTTCGTACATCTACTGGGCCGATGCAGGCCGACACGTACTGGCTGACGACGATCCGGAGAGAAAAGAAGGTAGGCCGAAGTAGCACTGACTTCTGACGGCATTCGTTCATGCCCACTCCGTTGCTTATGCTACATCCTATTAACCATTACTATCCATTCTGAACGCACCTTGGCACATAACAACCACGGGATCCATTAAGATCTATAAATCAAGACAGAGCTCGGTGAAATAAAGAAGTGGAATACCAAATACTTAAGAAAATCAGAAAACCACACTAATGCACTAGCAGTGAACCTACTAGACAATAGCGAAACTACACATAGGCTGAAAAGATAAACTATCCTAACTCTATCAGACAGACTTGAGTAAACCCCCAATACAAGAATTGAAATGATACCTAAGTGAACAAAAAAAATTATAGGAGTTACTCCACTGGTCATAACTAATTCACGAGCCAGTACTTATTGAACATATAATACATTTATTGCAGATTCTGCAGATTATGTATAATAAACGTGTAGGAAAAAATTTCCTTCCATCAGACAGGTAGCCTACCATGGCCAAAGAATCCCGTTTACCTGCCACGTAACCCCGGGAAGGGGCCCTTACCAGGTACTGCCCACAGGGCCAGTAGCGCCTGGAGCTCGCATAAGGCACGGTGGCCAGTCCTTGTAGTTGCAGTCTCTTATGGGAGTTTCAACTTGCTACATCCACAGTGAATATGGAGTATAAAATCTATTGAGAAAATAATTCTGTTCACGTACAACATTTCTCGCATGTAATATAAACATAATCATAAATTCCGAACTTCAGTAAAAACATGCAGATTACTGTGTGCTAGGACGTGGCGCTGTATAGTTCGGTAGATCGTTGCCGAATTTTCGGAGAAGCCTGTTGCCTGCGTGTTTGGGGTAAACTATCCTCGAGTTACAGAAAATAGACTTTTCAGAGTAAAATATTAACGACGTACCACACGAGACGACGACACATCTAGCAAAACATTAGCCGTCACAGTCACTGTCATGAGAACTCCAAATCTCATTTAACAAACGAGTTTGAAATCCACTGTAATACAAAATATGCTAATTCTGTGATCTACATTCATGTGAAGATGCTCAATTTACTTCGATACTGGCAACTCATTTCTCTTCTTTACTACACTTTTCTTTAATTCGAAAATGCTACTAACTGTGCGGTCTTCTGGCACCAAGTCATAATTAGCACGTAACGATAGAACATCGAGCGTGTGCTCTGTTCTCTGTACCAGTTCGCAACTACTTGCTAACAAGCCAAGAAAAGATCAAGACATAGGCTTGTATTGTGGACTGCTGTATTGCACTCATGGTGCGCAGCCGCAGAAGCTTCATGTGTAACAGTCCCAAGAATCATACCTTGCACCTTACCCCTTTGAACAGCTCTTGTAACCTGGACAAAAACCCTTAGCGCTTGGTTGCATTGTTGCAGCATACCAAAGCTGTGCGCTGGACTATGACTGCGCCAGCAGAACTGTGGCGGGATACATGGAGAAGTATGGCCGGGTAAGTAACAAGTCACAATGTTGTGATGAGATTGCAGTACAACCGGGTGAGTAACACGCCGAAGTATTTTGTGAGATTGAAGTACAACCGATTGAATAACACGTCACAGTATTACGGTGAGATTGGAGTGCAACCGGGTGAGTAACACGCTAAAGTGTTTTGGTGAAATTGGAGTACAACCGATTGAGTAACACGTCACAGTATTACGGTGAGATTGGAGTGCAACCGGATGAGAAACACACAAAAGTGTTTTGGTGAGATTGGAGTACAACCGGGTGAGTAACACGCCGCAATATTGTGGTCAGATTGGAGTACAACCTTGTAGGTAACATGCCGAGGTGTTTCGGTGAGGTTGGAATACAAGTGACTGAGTAACACGCCTCATTATTATGGCGATATTGGAGTAAAACCGGGTGAGTAACACGTCACAACATTGTGGTGAGATTTGAATACAACCGGGTGAGTAACACGCCAAGATATTGTGGTGAGATTGGAGTACAACCGGGTGAGTAACACGTCACAACATTGTGGTGAGATTGGAGTACAACCGGGTGAGTAACACGCCAAGATATTGTGGTAAGATTGGAGTACAACCGGGTGAGTAACACGTCACAACATTGTGGTGAGATTGGAATACAACCGAGTGAGTAGCATGTCACATGGTTCTCAGTTTCATAAAGAGGCGGTTCCAATTAATATCGTGAAATATGTCTCTCTGTGGCCTCAGGACTGCAACGGCGATGGCGCAACGAACTGTGATGACTACGTCATGATCCACTACAATGGCGGCGGGAGTTGCCAGACGCCCATCGACGATAAACTATTCAATAATCGGTACAACAAATGCCGGGTGGACGCCATAGCGAGTGAGTAGAATGGAGCTTGTATGATGTAGCATCAACTTCGAGAACCGCAATAAAGATTATTTATTCCCTCTGAGGTCAAGTTGCACGTAAGTTTTCCCTCGCGTTTAGTTCTTCTTACATATCTTCCCTAACAGCAGACACAGTCCTTGTCCTTGTACGTTGAATGCTCCGAATTGTTACGTTCAAGCCAGGGATAACATAATATCACCACGACTCTGTCGAGTAAATTAAGATCCTTCCACATTCGATATAGTGGTTAATAGAAACTGTGCCACCAGGAAGGCCGGACTATGAGACGTCCATCGCTGGTCAACGGCTAGCAATTCATAGGCAACGCAATAGAAGCATCCCGTTGTTTAGGAAAGCGCTTAAACAACACGAAAGTCTAACAGTGGGGTTTCCACTGTTACAAAGAGGCTAGCAATGCCAGAGTAACTAATTGAGGCAGTTGCATTACAACAACGCCCACATGAAGATAGCTGTAGTCGGTGTCTTTTTTGAAGACATGTTTTCCAGCAGTCTCACATTTTGGTTTAGCCACAAGGTTCAAACGTACAACGCACTGACAGATGTTCTACTTTCGACTTTTTCCAAATTTGCTGGTGTTTGCTAGTTTGCATATCAGCTGAAAAAGCACTCTTCACAGTGTAGTTAATCAGTAGGCCAGGAAAGAGCAGTGGCATTACCTTCACACCCGCTCTAATGCATGAGCTATCTTCGCTCGCTCGAACGCTGGAATCATGGTTTCGAATCCCATCAAGGCATGGATGTCTGTGTGTGCGTCTATTATACATAGGTGGGATAAAAAGTAGTGGCAACACCTCTATAGTTCTGAAATTACTTTATTACCTCAGGTAATATATCAATATAATCGCCCCCCATGTGTACCACCTTCTGCCAAATTTGTGGAAGGCGTCGTACACCAACAGCACGCCCACTTCTGTAGATGTCCAGCATTGACCACCCTACAGCACAAATAATCTCCTCTCTTGTGTTGTAACCTGTCCCTCGCAGTGGTTCTTTCATTTTGACAAAGAGATCATAATCGCACGGACTCATATCGGGTGAGTATGGCGGATGTTGCAGTATCTCCAATCGCCAGCGGCGAAGGAGATCCTTGACAGCATCAGCAGTATTAGCCCTTGCATTGTCATGAAGGATGATGGGGTTCGTTGCCAACAAGTGTCGTCACTTTCTCCTGAGTGGTGGACGAAGATGATTACGCAGGAAATTGCAGTAGTAGGCAGCGTTTACTGTCTGACGTTGAGGTACAGTGTGGTGCAGTGTCACTCCATCAATGGCATATGCCACAATGAACATCGCCTTCACATTACTCTGTGTAGGGCGCACTTTCTTTGGACGAGGAGAGCCAGGATGCTTCCATTCATTGACTGTCGCTTCAAGTGCGGTTCGTATGAGCGAGCCCAAGTTTCATCTAGAGTGACGATCCTTCCAAGGAAGTCGTCACCTTCCTTCTGGTACCGGTCCAACAAGTCCTGTGCAATTGCATAACGTTGCCATTGTTGCACCTCGGACATTGTATGGGGTACCCAACGCGCTGTAATTTTGCGGTATCCAAGAATATCGTGCAGAATTTGGAGCACGGTTTTATGACATCCCTCCCTTCACGGAACAATTTCACCAATCGTGCCACTGTGTGATATGGCCAAGCAGCATCACCACATGCTTCTCGCAATCCCTGATAACAGTTTTGTGCACTACGACCTAGTGCAACTTCAATTTTTATCCAGGAGCGTTGTTCTTCTTTCGTAAACATGTTGTTAAGGTGCTTGAACTGGCCTCCTGCACTTCAAGACGATGCACAATGCAACTCAATGAAACACAATCAGAGCCACTCACTGCACTACTTCAACTGAACTTCTGCTATCAGCTACAGACGGCGCTAGTGCCACCTGACGCACATCTTTCATATTATAGCAGTGTTGCCACTACTTTTTATCCAACCCTTGTATGTTTGTGTTATCCTGGGTGTAGGTAGCGCCCTTGCGATGGGCTGATCACTCCTCCAAGGAGTCCTACCATCTATGTGAAAGGATTATGAAACTGAAGAAGAGTCCAGGGCCCAACAAAGGGGTGTAGAGCCATTGATGAATGAATTACCTTCACACTAAACGTAATGGATATAATACCATGGCTCAATAAAAAGGGATTCGATAGTGAAATCTACTTCACTCTAGACATAGCAGTTCCATCACAACAACTTGGTCACCTGCCTTTTTATTCAGGACAGTGTTCCGGTCTACAATGGCACGAAGCATAAAAAAAATAAAATTATATTCTTATGGGCGTGATCAACTGGGGAGACAAGTCAGACATATACCGCCCCTTTCCTAAAATTACAAAATCGTCATTAAAAATAGACGAGAATGGATCAAATATTAATACAAAATTGAAAACTAAAATTACTTTTCTGTCCTGTATGTGCTAGGGAGATTTAAAAATAGTCTTAGATGGCTTAACT